GATGTTTGATTGAATTTGTAGCCTAAATGGTTGATCGAATCCTGATGAAATTTGGCATAAATACTTTTTTAAATTCCACTCGGTCGAAGTCGCGAGCGAAAATTAGTTTCAAATAAAAAAGAAGAAAACATACGAGTGCCATGCAGTAGCGGCAATTAGGCCTGGGCCTACAATATATCACAGGGGACAGGTTGGTATGACAGCGTTGACGGTGAAACGGTTTTAATGACCACATTTTAAAACTTTACCTCACCTCAGGCAATTAAATATTGTTTTTTATTTACATTTATTTTGTATAAAAACCTCTTAAACTATTACTTGTAACCTTTCTAACACATTCGATGAGTTTGTGATTCTACCAATGTATTTGTACAGTGAAAAAATTAAATTTGCTTCCCACTTAGATTAGATTATCGTAACAGTCACCGAGCAAAAAGAGGGAATAAACAAACTAATAATATGGAAAAGTAGCTTGCATACCAGTTCATAAGACAGTGCGTGTCAGTATCAAATTTCGTAACCCACGGCGATCCCTCAGTCATAGCTTTTGCCTATATCTGGCACGTGCAAAACACTTGCATGTACATTATTATTCAAATGACATTTTATTGAAGGGGTGTGAAATAAATGTCCCCAACGACATGTATACATTTTATTCGGAAGACAAAGACTGGGAGCTAAAGTTTAACAACGATTCCTCCAGATCCATTCTACTGGGGAAATAAAACTCTGAAAATCAGATTACTGCAGGATAGCCGCTCTACGCCACGGCTTCTAATATCCGTAGATATTTTTCCAATTTCCTCCTCTTAGCTTTGTTTTATTTCTAAAGTCTTCAGTCGTGTTTTGTGAAACTTTGATCTGGCCATCGTTTATACTTCGATGTTATTGCTTTGTGCTGTTTTCTTGTTAAGTTACGTGAATTCTTATTCACGTTTTTTGTTTGTATTTCATAATAAAGGGGAATACAATTATCAGCATCGATCGACATTGTCTTTTTCAGTGGAATCGCTTCCAATTTTTTCTTGTCTGTGACATTCTCTTGGCTTGTTTAAATTACACTATGTCTACTTTTAAGAGGAGGTCAAATATTAGCCCCTTTCCGTTCCTACCATTTTCTTATACGAAAAGAAAGGAAAGCGGATTTGACGGTGGAATAAACCCAGAGGAAGGGGAAATGTCCTCTTTATATGAGTCACCTTCTCCGTTGATTGAGGGTAGGCAACGCATCTGCCATTGCGGATGTATTTGGGTAGCGATTGCTTCGCTATCTTGGCGAATTCAGATGGCCGCTCGCTCGTTTGCCACCTTATAATAAAAAAATGATAGTGGACAAAATAAATTCAACAGTTTAGGTTATAAAAGTCAGAATCGACAGACTTTATAAATATCTGAGTAATATATCAGATAGTTACAAGTCACATCGTATGAAGATCTAAACGACTTTGTTTTGAAACAGTTACTAGATTCGCAGACGTCGCGTCTTCTAATTAAGATGTAATTTTAGTTCCATTGAACTTGATATTTCGACGTAGATTAAATTCTATCTACAGTCTAGGTTTTAGAGTGATAGTGCCCGCTTTAACATCTTAACACAAATGGGCCGGCACGCCCGGAGTAATACCATGACCACATAGAAGACAGACTTGAAATGGGAGCAATTCCGTGTTTCGTTTGATGAGTGTAGTGCCGGAGGCCTAATTTAAGTCCCGTGTGTGTGTCCTTTATGGAAAGTGTCCTCTTTACGTTCGTCTTCTCCTCCGTCGGATAAGGGTAAGCAACGCATCTGCAATTATGGAAGTCTGTGGGCAGCAGTCGCTTCGCGATATTGGCGGATTCAGGTGGCCGATTGCTTGTTGTTGCAAAATGTTGTTTTTTGTAACATTAGATAGCAAACGAGCAAGCGGTCACCTGAATCCGGCAAAATGGCAAAGCCACCGCTGCCCATAGACATCTGCAATTGCAGTTGCGTTGCCTACCCTTATCTGACGGAGGAGGAGACGCACATAAGGAGGATATTTCCTCTTCCTATGCATCTCCATCATTAAATCCACTTCCCCTTCCCATCCTCTCATATGAAAAGGGTGGTAAAGAGAAGAGGCTTAAAATAGGCCTCCGGCACCACACTCATCAGACGAAACACGGAATTGGTTCCATTTCACGCCTGTCTTATGTGTGGTCGTGGTATTACACCGGGCGTGCCGGCCCTGCAGTGCTAAGATGTTAAAGCGGGCACTACCACTGTTAAATGTTATTGTTTATTGCTAAAACATACTTATACCTGATTAAAATTACTCTCCCTACAGTCGGGCAAAATGATTTTTCCCCTATTTCGAATGAAATGGGAATAGATAATCTAAATGGAATAAACCATAAACCACTTCTATCATACTTTACAAAACTCTTTAATGTGCCTGCATTAAAGCATTAGCAATATAATTTATTTACAAAGTCAGATCCTAAGCCTAATGGAGTCTCTCGTAATGAATTAAAAATGACTGCGCACGCCGTAAGTTGGATATGTTAAGGTCATGTAATTAGTGCGACATTATATTCTGAATTAAGGAAAAATTATACCCTAAACTACATTAGCATCTGATTTAAGCTAGGCCTAGAGGAGGCAGTAACTTTATTCGGTCTTTTTAGACGTAATTTTCATTTACATTTCACATTTTTCGATTCTCTAGGTAAGGAGGACAGCTGCACTCAGGATCGTTTCAAGGAGTTAAAAAGATACTTAGTAAATATTAAATTTGTCTTCACATAAAATTTGAATTCCACAAATACAAAGAAATAGACCTACTCGTATATTTGTATTATAATAGCATCTTTTGGGTATATACCTTTGTTATTGTGACATTTCTAATTTAAAAAAAGGAAAACACTCGTGTAAAAATATCATTAGGCAAAATGTACCTCGGCCGGGCCATTACTTAACATTATTATGTAATGGCGGTTATTTACAAAAGAAAATGTTCGTTGAAGCAAACGAAATATCCTTTTAATGAAAGCTTTGTCGTGAATATTATTCGTATAAAAAGAATACTTAATTAAAATCATAAAAAGGCTTTTGAATTACGCAAAATTTTCGAATGAATTAAACGAATGCAAACGGTTTACATGGATTTTTATTCGAAAAGATATAATAGGTAGGGAAAGTGCTTTGCATGAATTGAATATGAAAACCTATACATCTCTATTTCCTACTCGTATTTCAATGGTAGAAATGCATTTATGAACCTTAAGGTGGCTACTGACCGAGGTTATGTGGTATAGAGTTACGACGATGCATACCGTACAAAGTGTTACGGGGATACCAGCGAGCATGATTCGCTCGATGCGAACGTTACACCTCGTAACGTTAGTCAGTACACACCTTTATAGTTTTGAGTTGTGATTGGATGATGCATACCACATTACACCAAGAATATGATAAAAAAACACCAATGACTTCTACGTCCGAATTAAATTTAAATTGTTCTCGTTCCAATTTCGGACTTAAAATTCAATTTAACCCACATCCTATTCTAAAATAGATTCTATTAAATTATTTTCAGAGTTTGTTTTACATTGATCGTGTTGAAATTTCTGAGGGCCCGGTCGTAATTCAAGTAAGCAAGTTTAGATAAGCTCCGCTGCCGTCTGCTAAGTCCGAACACCCGTATTTCTATGGATTATCTAGTATCAGCTTTGCCACACTATTTCTAGGATAAAAGCTATTTATTTCGTGAGTATGGGTAACTTTTTGTATACGTCAAATATTAAATCTTTATCCAGTTTTTTTGCTTTAGCTATAAATATTTTTTTGTACTAAGTATTTAATTTACTACATTCCTTCAGAGGCGATCAATAAGACAATAATATTTAAGTTTCTTTTCATAATAGTGCTTTATGGTTTATAATTTTTAGTAGTTGTGTTGTTTTTACGCTGTTTGTAAGTGTTAACTTACAAGGAGTCATAGCTTCATATAATCAAGTTTAATGAAAATAACTCAATAAAATACCTGGAACTAAAATAAACAACATATAAAATAATTACATTTCTGTAATGTTATAGTCAATAAATTAATTAAATATTAAAATAAAACTAATTTAAACATTGCAACATAACCGTAAATTGAATCTTGTTGGTGTGCTTTAGAGTCCATTTTCCATAAACGACAGATGCTGTGCTTTTGACCGTAATTCAAGTCAGCAAGTTTAGATAAGACCCTAACCGTTAGGACTCAACGCCCCTACTTTTAGTAGATTATCTTTTATGTCAGATATACTTCCTTGTACTCTTAATTCAAGCATTTATTACATCAACGCTCTATCGGACATAATGTACAACAATTACCACACGATACGTTACGAAAATGTCCTTGTAAATGTAAACATTTGTGATAGGTCCTCTGGGTGTTGATTCACGCTATGACTATTATTAAAATCGTAATTAAACAGGACAATTTTATGTTTAAACTATTATAAAAAATGATAAAGCAATCTTAAAACAAACTTAATGGCGAGTTATTTTTAGATAAATACTTTTACAAATAAAGCAAATTGTTAAGCGGCTTATCATCTTTTTGATAAGACCGTAAACCTTTTTTAACGAAGCTTTGTTATATGAAATCTATTATTTTATTTATAATTATTTTTCCATACATTGTTATTTGCTTGATAACGTTATAAAATTGAATTCATAGAATAAAAAAAAAAAACAAATAATATATAATTAACTTGGTAAAATCCCGTCATATTCAATTAGACAAGTCTAGTTATTACCAACTATTTTGCTATATTGTACTCACTGCATATATTTTCCTTGTTCTTGTGTACAAATATGAGATCACATCTAAATTATCTAACACTCAATGCTTATTATAAACGATATATAAACACAATTGTTGAATTTTATAATCAGTCTGTGAATAACAACGACATAAGTCTGTATCAACGATGAGTTCGTACGTTTTTATTTCTGTTATCCTCATGGCAATAATTGGAATGATCGTTGCATCTCCTGTTGATGAAAAGAAGCCGTTTGGTAAGTTTGTCTATTCTATCCTAAATTGATTGGTAGTTATGCGGATAGATACTTATGAAAGATTATTAAAATAAGTCAAATAGAAATCTTTGACTGAAAAAAAAAACAATGTTTTAAGAACTTAGTAGTTCAGTTCGTAATTCTTGCCATTATATTACGATTTGATTGAATTTTTTGACCGACTCAAAAGAAGGAGGTACTCGATTCGTCTGTATTTTTTTTTACGTGTTTTACGGCAGAACTCGGCCGCTAATGGACCGATTTTGATAATTCTTTTTTTATCTGAATGGTAGTGCTTGTAGGTAGGTCCCATTTTTTGTTTGATTTAGTCGTATATTATTAGCTCGTACATATACCTATCTAAAAGGCCTCGACTATTGCATTAGACCGCGATGGTCTGATGCGGATTGACGTTTTGTCGTCTTGCACGAACTTCTTATAACAAAGTAGCTTTAGAGAAGAATTTTATGTATTACTAAGTTTTACAGTAATTGTAAAATAAAATTTACTATTCGCAGATTGTCCGGCAAATGAAAAGTACTATAAATGTTCTCTGGAGGTTTGTTACAAGAAATGTGACAATTTGTTCAACCCACCTCCTTGTCCTTCGATAGCTGCTAATTGTTATCAACCGTCTTGTGAATGCGTTGACGGCTACTTAAGAGATTCCAATGGGATTTGTGTCACCGAGGAACAATGTAGGACACAGTTTTCGTCCGCCCACTATTCACTTTGTAAAATGGCGAAAACAAAAATACAATATCCATCAAAATGTTAAAATTGTATTATCGAAATAAATGAGTTTTTTTATTTGAAAAGCAATCAGAAAGTTTTTTTTTATTATTTTCAACAAGCCCGTTAAATTACTCTGTACCTTAGAGTAATATTTTGTTAACATTAACGTATCGTGCAAATTGACTCGACTTCACTCATGGTGTTGAGTCAAGTCTTACAATTATTTCAAGTTCAAAATGTAAGTATTACTTAGTATTTAACAGAAAATACGCTTCAAATCCCTACTGCCTAAAATCATCTTAACTTAAGCGGAAAACCGGAAAATAATCCACAGTACTGGGTGAAATATTAATAAGGCAATCTCAATTGCCTTGGACGTGGCCACAGACTTATGAATATAACATACCTCGCTAAGCCTGGCTAGGCACGCAATAAAATAAATAAAAACTGCGCATCTGAAATACCGCAGAGACATTTTTGAAGTCGTTACATAAGTTTACAAATAAATAAAGAACATTTAATAATTTGGATTAATGTAAAAATTATAAAGTTCGTCATCGTACCCTTTATCCCAAGAAGGTCGACACGGTTATTATACCTTCTTATAACCATCTGTCGTCACATCCTCTCTTATGCAATGTTTACTGTATATAATCTTCTACTTTTACCAGTACAAATACAAACATCAAGTAACTGAAATGACGTCATATATCTTGTAGATACTTTTAAACGTAAATTAACTATCAAACCCTAATATCAGGAACGAGGTAGTCCTTATTTGAATACTCCCGGAATGCTTTTAAAAGTCCTACGCAAATAGAATTACCCAAAGAAGTAATAGTAAACATTCATATTTGATTCCGAGCACTCAACAAATAATGTAGTTGTTTGTCTCATTTGTATATTTCATTGAGTACGGTTTCGTATTACGAAATCAATGCTTACATCGTATCTATACTAATATTATAAAGAGGAAAGATTTGTATTTTTGTATGTATTAAAATAACTCAAAAACTACTAGGCCAATTTTAAAATGCTTTTACCTATAGAAAGGTAATTTATCTGTGAGTAACATAGGAGTATATACAACGCGGGCGAAGCGAGCAACAGCTAGTTGTATATATTATCGTAATTGCATATCTGTCCTGAGATTAAATTAAAAATCATTTGTATTATGCCTTTTTCGAGGGATGTCAAAGGTAGTGTAGACGTAAATTTATATTTGATACGATATTAACAAAAAATCTGGAAATGAAATGTTTTATATTAGTCAGCTTTAATTTCATATTTCTGCTTAAAATTTCTATGTATATTATTCGAAATGCTCTCCATTAACAAAAAAAAAGTTATTTTATTAAAATTTATAAAAGGTTTCGTAGGTTTTATGTTGTTTTAGGTATTCCAGTAGTTAATTGGTGTCGGATCACACGGGATTGGTTTCTTCTTTGCTGTAATAGAAAACATTTTTAAAAACAAAAATCTCAATATGATCATACACAATTCCAAAGCAAGCTTGCAGTTTTGTTTCCATTCAATCAAAAAATATTATATCCTAATCGTACCTACATGCTAGGAATTAACTCAATGCTACTTACGGCATTTGTTGACTGGAACACAAATTTTATCTTTATTCCTGTACGTGTTGTTTTTGCACACACACTTCGGTTGGCAATTTAAAACGAATGTATTACACGGCACCGCTGGTTTACCAGCGTCTTCGCATTTCTCTTGCAGGCAATCGGATGGACAAGAGTCCCAAACTTCATTAGGTCTTGTACAATTCACGGGAGCTAGAAATTCAGAAGATTTTATAATTAAACTAAGGACTAGACTTCGGCCTACGAGACACAGACTTCTGGGTGTCCGTGGTATTGCAGCGGTCGAGCGAGCTATTCGAGTAGCAGTTAAAATTACTGCGGACTACGATACTTATATATTACTAAATTTTTCAAAACATGTTACTTACGACACTCGGATGCGAGGATACATTGTCTGTCATCAATACTTTTCCTTCTGTAGTTTAGATTGCAAACACATCCCGAAGGACACCGATATGGGAGAGAACAGTTGTAGTTAGGAGGCGAATCATCTTTAGGACAATAATTGTAGGAACATCTGTTGCTACAGCTTGAAAATGTTGCATTCTTTCCACAAGGATTACCACCTGTAATATAATTAATATTTAAATTAAAAAGATACATGAACGTGTTGTACAATATCTTGAACATGAACAAAACTAATGAAACAAACCTTTACACTCATCTGGTGGTATACAACGTCCATTCAGCTCGGGCAAGATGAATCCCTCTTTGCATTTACATCCAACATCCAGACAGGCCTTTCTACAGAGAATTTCATTAGGACCCGAGCAAGTAGAAGGGCACGGCGGCGGGCACTGAGTCACCAAAGCATTGATGTCGCCATTGCAGCCTAAATCCGCTAAAATTTCAAACAATCATAAAATTTCAGTTGTACAGATGTCAATAGGAAATATACCAGATGTAAACTATGGAAGAAGAATCAAAATTTCGACTGTATTACATTTAAAAAAAGTCGTCATAGTTTACACAGTTACTTACATGGACATTCCTCGATTTTCACACATTCACCGTGTCTATCTAGCAGAATATACCCCGGCTTGCATTTACAACCGTTTTCGTTCTCGGATACTTCTTGAGAAGAACAATTCTTCGGATTAGGTTTGGCGCATGTACGTCTACATTCAGGTGGAACATCACAAGTATTTGGAGCTATAGACAAAGAAAAATAAAAATAAAATCATAAATTGCTGATTTTATCACTAAGGGCGCGCCACTAAACAGTCGTTTGATAGTTTAGATAAAAATGTAGGTTTCACCATTCATATCATGTTGACAATGATGACTATTTCCAAGATGTTTGTCTTTATTCGAAAGATTAAACTCATGATATTTGAAATACTCACGGCAAGGTGTATCAGGAACACATTGTCCACTAGAATCTCTTGAGTAATTCTCTTTGCAGTCACATTTTGGTTTACAAACGCTTAGTTCAGTATCATCGTCATCAAATTTGCACGTTTCGACTTCATTCTCACCACACACAACAGGTGGAGTAGCTGCAAATAAAACAATCAATTTATCTTAAACTTTTCTAATTGTTAATTATATTCAACTAGCTATCGCCCGCGACTCCAATCGCGTGGAATTAAAGAAAAACTATAATAAGTAGCCCATGTTTTCTTCCTGACTTTCCCCTACATCTACGCTAAATTACATCGGGATCCGTTTAGCAGTTTAGGCTACAAACTAAGAAACATCCATCAATCTTTTTTTTTAAATAAGAAAAGGGGGCAACACACGATCGGCGTGAACACAGAGGTGGGCAACGACACCTATGGATATCCATTTCAATTTTCGCATTTATAATATTGCATTAAGCGTAGATCTAGGCATATGGTGGGTGAAATGTGGGATGAAAGATAAGTTAAGATCGTTTCAATCAGAAACATCTGAGCTTTTCTATACTGTATCTAGTTTACCTAACCTCAAAGCTGCTAAGATTTTTGTAAGGCAAGTCATAGTTCAGCTGTGGATGTTTTTAACTTTATAATGACCTCTATTCTAACTTCTAAAATTAGTATAGTATAGAACTACTTACGACATTGATCCACTGGTACACAAACATTATTTTTGTCTCTGTAAGTATTAGGCTTGCAGACACACCTCGGATCACAGTTTAATATAAGTGTGTAGCATATTGGAGTTTTTTTGCCTGCATTCTCACAACCTTCGTTTAGACAAGCTGAGGGACAGGAATCCCATACTTCGTTAGGTCTTGTACAGTTAACCGGAGCTAGATAAAAACACAGATATTACCTTTGTTATTGATTGTGCAATATTTTACCATACTAATATGGCAAAATTATGACACTAGCATGACGTCATCGGTTTTGGGCATCAACTTAAACTAACGTTTGCGATGAAAAAAATAGTTTCACTTACGACAGTCCGAGGCCAAGATACACTGGTCTTCAGTCATGCTCTTCTTCTTGTGGTTAAATCTGCAAACACAACCAGAACGACAAGGACTTGTTGCCGTACAGTTGTAATCTGGAGGCGAATCGTTTATAGGACAATAGTTGTATGGACATTTGTTAGTGCAAGTGGAAAATACTCCATTTCTACACGGATTACCACCTGTAAGAAAATTATATATAAATTAAATTTCGTTAAAAAAAGCTTGGATGGAACAAAGGAATGTTATTATAATATCGTTAGAACGCACACCTTTAACTAAACTAACGCACAAATGTTATGCGATTGTCGATTGTTTTGCAGCCCACTCGCTGTTTAGATGCACATGTAAAAGTCGAGTAGTGTGCGCACGTCCATATAAGCTCATAGAAATCAAAGCGAGACTAAGCAGTTGTGCGATAATATAGTTACAAGGGTTTGCACGCTCTTATACTACTACAGGAAAGGTTATGAACCACCTTTATCTCTCGCAAAAACATTCTTAAATAAAATTAAAAGCTATGATAAAAAATATACATCAACAAACCTGTGCAATTCTCTGGTTTAATGCAGAGTCCATTTAATTTAGACAAAATAAATCCATCCTTACATTTACAGCCGACGGGCAAACAACTCTTTTTACAAGGCGTTTCATTCGGTGAATCACATGTAGACGGACATGGAGGAGGGCATTTTGTAATTACAGCGTTACTATCTCCATTGCATCCCGTTTCCACTAAAATAAACAGAAAAGTAAGTCTACCAACTTTTGTACCATTCATGTATGGACCATTCATTCAACGAATTTATTTCATGTATCAAATAAGCCTACACTGTTTATTTAATTTAATGGACATCTTGTATTAAATACTAAGGATGTTCAATACATTTTTCTAGGTTTAAATAATATTCGTCTGTAAACTCCAGTAAAAAATAATATCTCACTTCACGTGGGCAAGTCAAACCAATTGGTAACATGTCGTGGCCTACTGTATGATTTATGTTATTCTATACTTACCAGGGCATTCCTCAATTCTGATACATTCTCCATTTTTGTCTGATAAAACATAACCTGGTTTACACTTGCAACCTTCCACGTTCTCAGTAGCAGCTTGATAAGGACAGTTCTTAGGATTCGGTTCGTCGCAAGTGGCTTTACATTTGTTAGAAATGTCACACTTCTTTGATGGAACTATAAGATGTACATAAGATATAAAGAAATTAAAGGCTCTATTGAGATTAAAACATACCGTTTTCTCTCTCACAATTGATATTAACATATGAACGAAAACGAAAACCTTGCACGCAACTAATGAACGAAAATAACTATTTGTATACAGTTTTAAAATAGTTACACATTTAGAAGATCAAATTAACTTAAAACTACTCATGTTAAAACGCAGTATTGCAAATATTCTGTTTTTAATACTGCTAAATCCAGAAATAGTTGTCCATACTCACAACATTCCGAAGCTGGTACGCAAATTCTCGAAGAGTTCCGATAGAATCCTTCTTTACAAGCACAACGCGGCTGACAGTTCGTCCGCGACGGCTTACACGCTGTGTTCGTTAACTTTAGGTCTTCGCAGTTCTCTTTTAAACACGACGTTGGACATGTGTTCCATTCCTCATTAGGTCGTGTGCATTTTACTGGTGCTAATAAAATTAAAAGAAAGGAAAATTTAGAATGATTCCTTAAATACTATGAAATATTACAATATCAATCTCATGCGTATGGTTTTTCTAATTAAATTAACGCTATTTATAAGCATCAGCAACTAGTAAATAGATTTTCTGTTTCTGTCCAATCTGTTCTAAAAGATGGCGCTTACAACGAAAAGACCAAGATGGTACACAATATCGATGATGAAGCGTATTTAAATTAACAGAGTACTAAATTAATGAATGGATTACATTTACTAGAAAGGTGCGAAGTAATAAAATAACACTTACGACACTCTTCAGCCAGTATACATTGTGGTTCTTTAATACTCTTCAATTTATAATTCAGTTTGCATGAACATCCCGAGCGACAGGGTCGAGGGGGATCACATATGATAATCCCCTGCCTGTCGTCTACGGGACAATAACTATTCGGACATTTCACATTACATGATGAAAACGTTGCGTTCTGCGAACATGGGGTACCTCCTGAAATAAATAAAATTATAGAAAGCTGAAGGGTCTTGCCACCAAGGTAACGTAACATATTCTTAAAAAAAAATTGCATGTTATACGAATTATTGCATGAAAAAAATAAACTGATACCATGAAAAGCATCACTTAGCTTTCAAAATAGCGATAAACAAAAAAAAGCTAACAGTAAAGGAAGTCTTCTATGTTTAAACATACCTGGACAGTCTACCGGTAAAATACATTCTCCCTTTGGTTTCGAAAGAATATATGAAGGCTTACATTGGCAGCTGTTGGAATTACATTTCGCTATACAGGATTGTGGATCAGGCGTCTGACAAGTAGATGGGCAGGACGAAGCGCAATCAACTAATGTTGCATTGCCACCACATGTAGGTGGTGCTGGAAATAAAATTTTATAAAAATGTTAAACCGAAAAACCATATTTTTGATAACGTTAATTGATTTAGCAAATAATGTACCTGGACAATCCTGTAGCAAAACACACTCTCCGTTTGGTGACAGGACATAACCGGGCTTACATTGGCAGGTTTCGTTAGGTTTACACACCGCTGCACATGGACCAGGTTTTGGCGATTCACAAGTGGGAGGACATGACGAAGCACAGTCTGTCTGTGTCGCGTTGCCGCCACAAGGTCGTGCTGAGAATTAATTCCTTTTTTTAACAATAAATTGTATTTCAAAGAATCTATTACTAAGCAATAGAATTATCACTACTTGCAGGTAAAAAAGTTTACACGCTATCGTTGAGAAAAAATATTAGTAGAAAAAGTACCTGGACAGTCTTCCGGCAAAATACAGTCACCGTTTGGTGACAGGACATAACTAGGCTTACATTGGCAGGTTACGTTAGGTTTACACACCGCTGCACAGGGACCAGGTTTTGGCGATTCACAAGTAGGAGGACATGACGAAGCGCAGTCTGTGAATGTCTTATTTCCACTACAAGGTGCTGTAAATAATATAATTAAACTTCTAGTTGTTCCTGTTTTATTATCATTAAGTATTTAAAAATACTTCAAAAACTATGTGGGTACAGAAAAATCTAAAAGCAATCGTTAAGTGAAGATATTATTAAAATACCTGGACAGTCTTTTAGTAGAATACAGTCTCCTTTTGGTGATAGGACATAAGAAGGTTTACATTTGCAATTTTTGTTAGGTTTACACACCGTTGCGCAGATGCCAGGTTTTGGAGCCTGACAAGTGGGAGGACACAATGAAGCGCAATCTGTGTGTGTCGCATTACCGCCACAAGGAGTTTGTGCTGCGAGTGATAAAATTTATCTTCCGTTAATTAGGTATACCTTTTGAAGTTTTTACTCATATTTTAATACTAATTAGTTATGATTCTAAAAATAACTATAATAAGAATTAAAACAACTGTTGATAAAAATACTATTAGAAAAAATACCTGGACAGTCTGCTGGCAAAATACAATCTCCTTTTGGTGACAAGACATAAGAAGGCTTGCACTGGCAGGTTACGTTAGCTTTACACACGGCTGCACATGGACCAGGTTTTGGTGATTCACAAGTGGGAGGACATGATGAAGCGCAGTCTGTGTATGTCTTATTTCCACCACAAGGTGCTGTGAATAATATAATTAAACTTCTAGTTGTTCCTGTTTTATTACCATTAAGTAATTAAAAATCATCAAAAGCTTTGTGGTGAAAGAAAAATCTAAAAGCAATCGTTCAATGAAGATATTAAAATACCTGGACAGTCTTTTGGTAGAATACAGTCTCCTTTTGGTGATAGGACATAAGAAGGTTTACATTTGCACTCTACGTTAGGTTTACATACCGCTGGGCAGATGCCTGGTTTTGGAGTCTGACAAGTGGGAGGGCATGATGATGCGCAGTCTGTGTGTGTCGCATTAGCGCCACAAGGAGTTGGTACTGCGAATAATTCAAACTTTACTAAACCCATAGAAATAAAAACCCAAAATGTATATGTTTGAATATCTATGAAGGTTCATACATTTTGAAGCTGAAATACTTACTTTTGGGGCATTTTTCTTTTGGAATACATTTCCCATTTGAATCTCGTGCATAGCCTTCTTTACAAATGCAATCGCGACGACAAGGGCCTGGCCTACAAAATCCTTTTGGCTTTCCACTGTCACATGAATCAGATGTGCACCGTGTTTTACAAATTATTGATACTTCATTCTCACTACATACAGGTGGTGGTGGGGCTTTAACAAAAGACATAGTTTTCCTCTAAACGTTAGAAATAAATCTCATTGTCCTAAAATGCAAAATTAAGAAAGCCCTGTGAAAAACATTATTAGAAAATACCTGGACAGTCCTCCGGCAAAATGCAGTTTCCGTTTGGTGATAAGACATAAGAAGGCATACACTGGCACGTGACATTTGGTTTACATAGGTCTATGCAAAATTCCGGTTTTGGAGTCTCACAGGTGGCAGGGCATGCCGAAGCACAGTCTGTTGATGTCGCATTGCCGCCACAAGGAGTCGGTGCTGTGAAGAAGATGCTAACATAATTTTGTGAAGACTTCATTTATGGCATTATTTTCATGATGTTAAAAATTGGAATATGTTGTACTTAAAACATTATTTATTTGACTAAAAATACGTACGTGGAGGACAATTGTCATTAAGGACACAATTTCCTTTAAAATCTCTGAGATGGTCCTTAATACAGTTACACCCAGGTTCACATTTGGTAACATTTGGGCAAATGCCATAGTCAGTGTATGAATTGTTACAAAATTGCGGTGGACATTTTATTTTGCACTTTGAATATTCTTCGTTGACTCCGCATTTAATAGGTGGTGGTGCGGCTACAAATTAATAAATCGATTTACAAGAATAACAAAAGATATAATAGTCTGAGAATAATTAGATATGAAAAATGTAAGGAACATATACTCACGGCATTTATCGACTGGCACACACACTTTATTTTTATCCCTATAGGTATTTGGTTTGCAAACACATTTTGGCTGGCAGTTAAGAACAAGAGTATTGCAAACCGATGGCTTTTTGCCAGCATCTTCACAATTTTCCTTCAAACAAGCAGACGGACAGGAGCTCCACACTTCGTTGGGTCTTGTGCAATTAACTGGAGCTGGAATTTTAAAATATATTTAACTATTCATAAATAGGCTTAATAAATAATACGACTACGTTTGGTTTATTGCATTAGTTTCCAAGTGCGTATACTGTAAACGGCTTGATTGGTTTCGTTCTTGCCCGGAGAGTATGGTCTTTGTAATTATTTTACGAAATGTTTAAGAAAACTTACGACAATCTGATGCAAGAATACATCGGTCTTCTACTATACTCTTTCTTCTGTGATTCAATTTACAAATACAACCAGCAGGGCATGGCGATTCCGGTAAGCAGTCGTAGCTCGTTGGGGAGTCGTCCTTTGGACAATAATTGTACGGACATCTGTTGCTGCAGCTTGAAAATGTTGCGTTTTTACCACAAGGATCACCACCTGGGAAAATGTATTAGCAAGAATGCACAAAAGATATCCCAAAATCATTTTTTATTGCCGGACTAAGAAAGTTATTATACACAGGCTGTTTAGCCGTTTATCTGTTCAGCTTGTAATCTTAATTATTTTTTTTTAAATGAAAGGTTCAATTCTTTTTCTTCCCCGGAATGTTAGTAGTAATTTGGGTCGGGTCTTAATTTTTTAAGTACAAACTAATGGTTTAACGTTAAAGGTGAAATGGCTTATAGTCTCACAAACCTGTGCAATTTTCCGGTTTTATACAAAGTCCGTTTAACTTGGACAATATGAATCCGTTTTTACATCTGCAACCAACGTCTAAACACATTTTCTTGCAGGGTGCGTCTCTTGGAGATTGACAAGTCGCTGGACAGGGAGGTGGGCAAGATGTAACTACAGCGTTAGGATCATTGTTACATCCTAATTGTTCTGAAAAGAAATGACAATGACGGTAGTAACATTTACAAGCAGTTCCATTTACAGCAGGTGCACACACAACTACCGCGATTGCCGATTATCGATATCATTTATTCATTATTTCTCTCATTATTTTACTTTCACCACTAAGAGGTTCTGCCCCTCTATACAAAGTAAAATTGCTTGTCGCTTATTTATTCCTACGATTTGACACCTTTTTTCTATTCTACTAGCGGTCGGAATTCTTGTGCACTATAAAAATAATACTTACGTGGACACTTTTCTATTTCTATGCAATCTCCATCCTTATCAGATAATATGAATCCTGGTTTACATTTACAGCCTTTTACATTTTCAGTTACCGTTTCATAAGAACAGTTTTCAGGGTTTGGTTGAGCACAAGTTCGTTTACACTCAGGTTTTACATCACAAGTCTCTTCTGGAACTGAAAAACAAAACAACATAAAAATCCTCAAATTGTTGTCGATTCTTTGGCTCATATACGTGGGTAGGACTAGTCGTGATAACTTGTTTGTACTTACAACATTGAGATGCAGGTACACAGATACGAGAATCATTTCTGTAAAATCCGTGTTTGCAGGCGCATCGTGGCTCGCAACCCCATGGTTTACAAGAAATATGACTTTCCTTCAAATCATAGCAGTTCTCTCGCAGACACGAGTTGGTACATGAATTCCATTCCTCATTAGGACGAGTGCATTTTAGTGGGGCTAGAAACAAAATTAACGGTGATTTTTTTTTTGTAATTCTAAGGAAACTTTATAACTAACTAGCTTTCGACTTGCGACTTTCTTCGCGTGGTATTAACGATTATTATTACTATACTATCCACTACATGTTTTCCAAATTTCATTGATCCGTTCAGCCGTTTAGGTTACAAAGACCAACAATCCTAAAGAAGAGATTCGATTTTCAATATAAAAATGGTACAAATTAAATGCTATATTTAAATTTTGTAAAATACCCTCAGTGTTCAATTTCTTGATCTTGGTTTGATACATAAAATCTTTAAAAATTACACAAAAGAAAGTTTGTAATTTTGTTTTGAACAAAACATAATCGCTCTTGTATCAGAGGTTTTAGCACATTATTACTTACGGCATTCCGAAGCTAGTATGCAACGAGGATCTTTCACACTTTTCCTTTTGTAATTCTGTTTACAGAAACATCCTGCGGGACATGGCCACGCTGGGTCACATATAAGAATCGCAAGACTATCATCAACCGGGCAGTAGTTGGTCGGACATCCTATATTGCAAGCAACAAAAGTCTCATTTTGAGGACAAGGGTTGCCACCTGAAATGAAACAAGCAATTATTTACTTAAATTGAATACAACCCTATTGAATATGCGATAGTGATACTCGTAAGCATCTATTTGTGGCTGAAAAAATACCATTGACGATTTCAGGAATATTAAAAAGTTGTTGAAGAGTAGTCGTTTTCTGGAAAAAAAGCCTAACTGACCACTAAGTTATGTTTGAAATCACATATTTTAATATTACCCGGACAGTCCTTTGGAAGAATGCATTCTCCTTTTGGTTTAGATAAGAGATATGAGGGGTTGCATCGACATCCTTTGGGTTCACATTTCTTGTTGCAAATCCCTTCGTTTGGAGATTTACAAGTTGCTGGACAGGCGTTAGGGCAGTCTACGTATGACGCATTTTGACCACATGTTGGCTCTGCAAACAATTTTAATTTAAAATTAAAATAAGGTTGACTAGCTTTTCATTTGTTTTTGGTCTATCTTGTAATTAAACCAATTTAGATGAAATTTCACTTTATTTGTAAATAAATAAGGTTGAATTCAATGGAAATGAGAAATTATAACAGAAATTAAACAATTTGTCCTTTACAAAGCTGTGATAACAGGTTTAATTGAGACGAATATGCATTTTATATCAACTTAAACGTTCGAAAATAAATCCATAGATAAAAGCGACATTATTAGACTGGACATTTGTAAATACAATTGTCAATTGAATTCAGTTATACACATTTTTATTGTTAGAAGTTGCTGGAAGTCTAGAACTAGCACTTATATCAGAAGATGAAGTATAAATCTAGTTTTAATAACTATGTTAAACAGGGGTTGTTATTAAATAAATGTTATTTGGGTAATAATAAAAAAAAGAATTCGTTTCGATATCTCTCATCGTATAACGTGTTATTTTTTCGATGAGTCATAATTGTTATCCAACATTTTTTTGTTAAATGGTAATCTTTATGTTGTTACTGGTTAGAGTATATGTCAATTAACTCACCAGGTTTTCCTGTGCATATTGTATACACGGTAGCCACTGGTATCAGAAATATATAAAGTATCAACATACTGCATTCGACTGGAACATATCCAAAATATGATCACGTTTATATCATAAAAATTTACATAACAAATAGACATAAAAGAAAAAAAACATCTGATTCAACACTCGCATACATTAAGTTCTTAGAAGTTCCGTACTTAATAGTATTTTAAATTTTAATAATTCTATCAGGCTTCGAGTTAATTAGATTAGGTAAAAATACTAGTTATAAGAAACTTCACTTAGTAAAAACATCAATGATGTTTTATTCATGCGTTATTTATCACTTGAGATGTAAAAACCAACACATTTACTACTTTAATGTCAACACACATTTTTGTAAAAATAACATTAATCAAAGCTACACAACATTACTATACGACTTGTGTCTACCTTCTGTTTGAAGTAATGATACGACTGATTCATTACCGGGAAAGAACCGGCAATTCTCAAATGCCAACATTACTATTTACAAATGCAGAAAAACCAAGCGTATAATGGGTTCTTTTCTGCATATTTTTTAAACTAGTTTTCCCTTGCGACTCCGTCCACGTGCAATTCAAAAAAAGAAAAGTAAGTAGCCTATGTGTTCCAGACTACCCGCTACATCTATGCCAAATTTCATCGAGATCCGTTCAGCCGTTTAGGCTACAAACATTAATCCATCTAAACTTTCGCATTTACAATATTAGTAAGATTATTGAACACAATCAGTTAATTATTTGTTAAAATAAAAATCTTTACTCTTCCAACATTCAGGCACAATATGTTTCGATAAGAGTTTGATCGCATCGACTTTAAGTTGATTTTTTGTTTTAATAATGATCCCTAAAAGTTATTTCATATTTCCATACTCCACCTAATCAAACAAATGTATTCTAAAGGCACTAAAATAATGGCGACAAACATCAAATGTGCGTTAATATCTCTGTAAATACGGTTATTAGTAATATATTTTCTTTGATATTTTTCAGAATATACAATTTTATTTGCTTATGAAATAAGTCACTGAATATTTTACAATTTTGTTTTCATCATTATAAATGTAACAAGTCATTGAACTTACATTACATTTTACCATACAGTAGGTGCTATATTGAGAACTAATCTAAAATACGGTAACGAGGTTGAAAAATCATTAATTAGATATCAAATTTTACGAGACGTGTAAAAAATCGCTAATTACACAGATGGTGAATGGATATTTATCATCCAATGACATTCTTGTAGTTATATAATATTAACTAATTTTCGCCCGCGACTTCATCCGCTTGGAAGTAAAAAAAAATTAATAAAGCCTATGTGTTCGACCAGACTATCCTTCATAACTATGCCAAATTTAGTTAGGCTACAAACTATAATAAACATTCATCCAAACATGCATCTTAAATTTGGCATTTACTAATTATTAAGAAGTAGCATTCCAAGGTCAAGGTAGTGTATTTCATAATATTCGAACACTAGCTTTCGCGCGCGTCTTCGTCCGAGTGGAATTACAAAAACAAAAGCAAGTAGCCTATGTCTCCTTCCAGACTATGCTCTACGTCTATGCCAAATTTCCAGATCCGTTCAGCAGTTTAGGCTACAAACTAACAAACATCCATCCATCGAAACTTTCGCATTTATAATATCAGTGATTAGTGAGATTGATTGAACTAATGGATTTGAATTCCTTTTACCGGTTTGAGTCAGCATTTAAAGGGTTAAAGTGGTACAAAGGTGTAGATATAATACCTGATTTAGTAGGTCTATAGTTTTAAATGGATCAACCTTTTAGTGAATTACAGAACAAGTGACCCTCGGGTATAACGACTTAATTAACGTCCCGGGTCTCACAGCACTATCCTTTAAATATTCACTTAACTGAGAATAGTAAATCCAGACGATTCCGTATAAATGGATATAATTTGTCTACGCACAGAAATAAAATTACGATGCAAAGAATTTTACTGTTAAATAAGAGAATGTATGTTTTACACTATCTGTTACCGTACGGCTTTATTCGCATGGAATTATGACAAACTTTATTATATTGTTTACATTTGTTAAATTCTCTATTGTAGATGTCAAAATTACTGTTACTATTTACCTTGATTCCGTAATGTTCGCAGCTTGTTTATAGTCCCTTTCCCAAATTAGTGTTTTTTCCAATTTATTTACCCCTAAGTTTAAAGGCGTTAAAATATATAGCCTAAAGCGTGTCTTTAGTGTAGGGCTTTTTATAAAAAAAAAATAAAAATTTTCAAAAATGTGCTGTAATGGCTGACATTTAAGGCAACAAAGAAGTGTGTGTTTACGCTTTATTATAATAGTATAGATAAATGGATGATTAATTATTTAATAAAACTAGTATAGAAGTATAGATACAGATAGATTAGGTTTCTTTGTAATAGAACTGTTCATTTAACTATTGGTCATATGTAAAAAAATATTATAATTTTTTTTTAAATTTCATTAGATGTTATAAAAGTTATCGATGTAAACATTGGTCAGTGTAAACGTGAGTCACGATTATAATCTATTTTCCTCGTGTAGACACGTTTGTAGCGCAATTATTATTCACGGCAAATTAACAATTGTCTAATTCGTGGATAAAAGTAATCCGGTTTTGTTCAACTTAAGTTGAAGATGTATGTATTATATTCTATTACTTGAAGATTGGGTCCAAAAATTTTTAACTGTTTTTGGTAATCGAAATAAAACATGAATATTTAATATTGAGACATATAAAAGATCAAAGCTGACATAAAACTGTTTTTCTTTGAATTGGTTAAACAAAAATAACATCAAATACTCTTTGATATGATCCGAGTTTCAGATGAAATTATATTTGCTCGATTACCAAAGAAATGAGACCGTTATTCGATCAATAAAAAAATCAATTATTAAACCATTCATGTCAATTTCTCTTAAAGGTATATCGAAACAAAATCAGATGTTTGTAAAAAAATTAAAAATAACCTTCATTGCAAGTGAAATTATAAGAAGTTTTTTAAGGCGGTTAGATAATAACAGTTCAGTATAATTGCCTTGCGATTATCTAAATTTATTTTCCTCCTTCGTCTTGTCTTATTTCAATACTTAATTTTCCAAAAATAATAAAGCAATATTTATTGCTTTGTCAATGTAAAATCATTGTAATCTTGTAGTAGTTAAGACCGAAAATCATTTGTATTAATCGAAGCTCATGTTTAATCAAATTTTAACGTAAATTTATTTCTGTAACATAAATTGATTTGTTATCGTGCTTATAAAAACATTTTTAATATAACTTACCTTTCAGATTAGGTATTTAATATTAAAAACTACTATATTTATGTAATCATCCAACACAACTGACAGTTTTGATGCAACTGAATTTAAAATTAATTACCGAGTTAAATTATATACTCGATTTATGACTTCTGATTAAAAACGTTCACGACGTTTGATAAAAAATATGTTATTTCTATAACTAAATTTGAATTGAATTATTTGAAAATTGAGTCCTGTTATCTCGTGTGTTTAAATTGAGGTTAAGGTAATATATTCATTGAAAATGTAATTGTTCTTTTATTTAGCACACGTGAAACTGGTTACCTACAGCCTTACAAATAAACGAGGTATAAAATTAACCTTAGGAATACACTGAGTATAGTATAAGGAAATATTAGTACAAATTTTGGTTATACTAATTTAATTCCTAAGTTTAACTTTACACCTCGTTTATTTGTAAGGCTACTAATTTTTATATACCGATGGCAAAAATAAAAGGAAAATCAATCCATTGAATTTGGAGGTAAGTCACCTAATTCATTCTCATTGAAGAAACAAACTAAAGCTTATTTGAACATATACAAGTATTACAGTGAAGTTATAAATTTCGATACGATTGACTTTTTGACCGACTTCCCAAAAGAAGGAGGTACTTAATTCATCCATCCAAAAATTCGTATTCATATTTGTGTGGCGGTTGGTAATTAAAAAACAGATTAAGAAATAAAAACATTTATTTTGACAATAAAATTTAATTTATTCGAAATTATATTAACAAATATAATACACTTTTTGCACAAATGTATTAAAAATAATCGATAAAAAAACATTTACAATTTACAAAATAATGTAAATATTGTAGGTAACATTTACAATCAACCGATCCGAAATTAAAATAAATATTAAAATAATATTGATTAAAAATTCTATACGTTTGGCACGAAGTTTTTGTTGAAGCCGATTCTATACAAAATATTAGAAGAAAAATGAGCTTTTTTTATTATGCTAAGGTTCATTATTTTATATATTGTCTACAGACTAAAAAATTAAAATAACTGGCACATAATTCGTACACATAACACACGGGTAAAAAATCTCAATATAAATATTTTATACTTTGCAACCCGCAAAGCATTTTATTGTCAAAAGTGCCTCTTGACTTATAATTATTAAACAGTATAGAAAATTATACAATTGGTATTCCAGACCATAGAACAGTGGATAATTCATTTGACATTTTACGACAGGTTTCTCAAAAATTGATTCATTTCAACTTAAAATCCCTAAACAGTTTTCTAAAGTCTTTTCTCTTCTCTGATCAACGTTTTAGGGAACAAACTAATAAAAAAAACGCTACAATTTGAGTAACAATTTGAATCTTAGAAACCAAGTCGTTTACAAGAAAAAGAAAAAAAAGATATATTTACATAAAATCCAAATTCAATTATATGATCTACACACATTGAGAAATATTAATCTAGCAAACATTTATTTTATTTACAAGCGGAAATATATTACTTAATTAAAAAACGTCAGTACCTAACTTGCAAACAAAATTACAAACAAGAAACCGTAGCTCATCGTAAGGTCTTATTAAAAAGAAATAATACATTTACAAATATAATGCCTCTATTATATACAAAACTCGATATTATGAACATTTTGTTCACCAGTGGAAAGGACTAGGCACACTAAGTACTACATAAGCAAAGAATTACATACATACCCTTTATGTGTATAAAAATATTCATATTTAATATAAAAACAATCAACTTCAATTAAAAAAAATCATAAATTTGAGTTATAGCGCACTTTAAATATTTTAATGTACATTAAATTTTAATAATTGCGCGTAATATCAGTCTTTTTACTAAAGTAAAAGATAAAAGATGGAAAATAGAGAAGAAAAGATATCCGAATTATAAAAGATACGTTGCTTAATAATCTTCAGTCGTTCATTCTGAATGAGTGAAATAAAATTAATTGAAAAAAAAAAATGTTTTCACAAAGTTCTATGTATGTAAATCTTTGTTGCTTAATTTCAAATTACCTAAAAAAAATTCGTTATCAACACAAAATAGACGCTCGGTTATAATCGTACAAAAATATAAACATTCGTTGAACACATCTAGCGCTAAAGGACGGGGTCGTATCACTTTTCTTTGAATTTCACTTAACTTATTATTGTCCTTACCACTACGTGAGACTATAGTTCTGTGGTCGTTTCAACGGGCGATTGATTATAACTGAAGCCAGTGAAATTCCTCTTGCCAAAGGTCACGTTGTCGTTGTCAGATGCTCTGTGGACGAAAAAAAAAGGTATAGAAAGACATATGATGTGTTCAACATGTAAGACTGGCAACATAATAATATAATATTATTGTAACGGGCGGCGTTAGAGTAGGGATTTAGGCCGCCCAGGGCGTAAGATAAGGGCGTCACAATCAGCGAATTACAGTCTTACAAAATATAATCGCTCTTTCTTCAACATTGGTTAAAAGAAAACGCCCTAGAAATCTCGCCCAGGGCTAGTTTCTACTAACTTTATTAAATACAATAACGACTGAATTTATATTCTTGGAAATTTTATTATCAACATTTTCAAACCTAAATTACATCTCAATTTATTCAAAGTTGCCATATCTCAGTTGGGTAAAAACATTACATTGTACTTTACTAAAATCGAATTATTTACCCCACGATTACATTGTTTCAGTCCCAACCCTATTGTATTCTAAGCAATAAATTGTAAGACCCAATAAGAGAGAAAATTTACAAATTAATAGTGTTATTTGGCTAACATTAATCGAAATCCCAATGTTCTTATACGAATACGGAGAAAATAGTTGTATTGTTCTAAATAAATTTTATATGAATTTACTAAATTATTCAAATGAAATATTGCTATGTGTATTTGTAAGTTGTCAGAAATATAAGGCCCAGCATTTTTTTATTGTTTAGAAAACAATGCATTTTAAGTACAATGAGAAATTATAAATTGTATAATTTTTAATTAATTAACTGTTTCTAAGTTTCTATTTTTTCATAAAACACACACACACAGTTTAAAATTATTACAGTTTCTTAATATTTTTAATAAAATACACCAATGCTTACCTTTGCAAGCCAGGAATTTCATCATACGCCATAATAGGCTGTGTAACTTTCTTCTTATGGTTGGTATTAATTTTCCTAGCGAGCGTCGCATGCAGTCCGCTGTTATTGGTACGCGGCAACGTGCCCAGTGCGTTGTTCAGTGCGTGTCCGTGCGCGGCTGCCCGGCGGTTGAGTGTCTGCGTGCCCCCAATGCCCCCAGTGCCCCCAGTGACCCCAAT